TACTAGATGTCTATAGTATCTAAATAGTAGATTAAGACAGATTTAAATGTTTTAATTATGTTCCATAAGGTCTTTTATATTGTTTTTCTAAAATGAAGAAGCACATTTCTGTGTCAGAAATTTGGCACTGTAAGAGGGACAACATATCTGACTAGGGCAAATCTAGAAGATCACAATTTTGGTGGGATTTTGTTTTGGGAGTGGTAAAGAAGAACTTTATTGGCCCTGTACCCCAGGGAAAAAATATATTTAGGATGTTAGCAAACTTAAACTGATAAGCATTTCTTCCATGTTGCTTGAAAATAGGTAACTGCTTCCTTGCCAGGCACTGCCTACTGTCCTGCTCCTGATTTAGGGGCTGCAAACAAGTAAAAATTTTGGGTATGGAGAGAAGAGTTCATACAAAGCTAGTGGAAACAGACAGTGTTCACCATACTGCAGATGCAAGGGTTTCTGATTTCTACTTTAATAAGATATATCAAGATTTAGACATGTGATATGGATGATTTAGGGCTTCCAGAGTATAATCAAGGTTGACAGAGATGACTGTGGAAGGACAAAGCCGCAGCAACTGAGGAATGCTGTTACATTACTGAGTGAGGGCAAAATAGGTTAAAAATTCATGAAAACAGGAGAGTTTGAAAGGGAAATTGTGCCAAAAGTAGCCCATTGTAGTAGTGGGAGCTTAAGGAATAAGTGGAAGAGACAGAAGTACCTTTAAAAGCAAGTAAGAATAATTTATTGATGGTAGAGGCAGTGGGAAAAGCAAATGAACTTTTTGCTTGCTGGTCTTAAGGGTGTATGTCGACACATGCCTGGAACCAACATAAATTTCCCTAGGGAAGAAAAACTAGAAAAAAAAAAAAAAAAAGAAGATTGCTTTATAGCAGGTGATCCCAAAAAAAAAAAAAATGAGTACAGTTGATGAGAAACACAAGTTCACAATCAGTTGGGACCTGCAGATTTAATTTTGGCAATGGAGGGGGCCACATGAAGCAATTGTTTGGAATGTTATGTTATAGTTGAAGCGTATAAGTTCCTTTCAGTGTGTCTGTCTGGTTTGGAAATAAAACACAAATAGAGAAACATCAAGTTTTAAAGCTGGAAAGGATCTTTGCCATTAATTTTATATATGAACAGCCTGAGATTTGACCAAAAAAGATAAGCAATTCGCCCAAGGTCTCTGAGTCAGATAATGGCAGAGCTGGGAATGGAGAAAACTCAGGAGTAAGGTTTATGGCTTGTATCGTCTTGAAGCTTCATTTTACATTTGCTCTGAAAGACTTCTTAGATTCAGCGTTAAGCATGGTGTTTATCTCAGTGAATTAGAAGGGAATTAAGAACTTATGTAAAGGAAGGTTCTGTTAGGAGCAAAACTGCTAAAGGGATAGGACACAATAAAACTTGGGGATTTGTGTAAGAATTCATTTGATAATGTGAAGAATTTTGCAAAAGAGTCAGGACTGTGATTGGTAAGAAAGAAGAGGCTAGGAATAGTCATTTTCTTCATTGTTATCAAATGATTATATGGCATTTCATCTTCAAAACCTTTGCAGACTTTAATTAAATGTCAAAATGCAGTTAAAATCTAAATTGTATGGATAGTCTGGAAAAGTAGATTGTTGAAGTTTGGTAAGAGATGGAAGAAATACATTAGAATTCTGTTCTGAAACATGGTTAGAATTTGCTGTATTCTAAAGCAACCCTCTCCCTTACATATTAACTGAAAAACAAAAACCTTGTTATGATATACTTCCTACCACAGTTGTTGACCCTCTGTAGTTACAGATGGAGAAATGGACAAAATAGGATAAATGTAGACTTACTGGATCAATTGGTACTGGAAATAAATGTTTGTCAGTTTATTGAGGTTCACCTTAGATACAACATTTGAAAATTAATACATCCACGACACAAATGACAATGGACTCTTTTTCCCCTTTGAGATTTTGATGACTATGATGTAAGAGCACATTTTGACTTTTTAAAAGGTACTATGTCAAAACAATGTTTGCGGTATTTTATTCTTCATGATGTAAATCTGTACATCGAGATTAAAATACAGCAAGAAAGAAGCAAAAGCCATTTGGATTCTCCCACACCTGAGGATAAATGAGACTTAAAAAGTCAGAATCATCACAGGAAACATGTCTTTTTCATTTAAAGACTTCTTTAGTCACTCATGCATAAACAAAATAGGGATCTCCTGTGTCTTAAATACAGAGTGCTACAATATTCTTGCTTCTAGGGCTAAGATTTTTTTCTTTCCAAGTAGCACCTGTGTTTTTTAGAGCAGTTCAGCAGTGGAAGAAATGACACTTTCATTCTTGTAATGAGGCACCATTAACCAGAGGTCTTTTGTAAGGATGTAATTTCAAACTTCATTACAGGCCAAGGCGGCCACACTACCCTTTACTCAGGAAAATGTGCTTCTGTTGTGACTTTCCAAAGACTGTTACATTTTTAATGTGTCTTGTTAGAATATTTATGAAACAGCATCGCCAGTAGAGGGCATCTGTCTTTGAAACATGGATCACAAGGATATTAACTGATAGGGTTTCACTGCCCTCACTTTAGACTTTTCAGTTAGAAAAAAAGGTAAAGGTACATGTATAATCTTGAATTCTTTCTGATTTGGTCCTTATTACTGTTATAGCAGAATACAGGAAATACGCATGCTTATGTCTCAGGAGTTTTAATTTTTTATCGTCAGAGTGAAGTCTGAGTATGAGGGTAGCCAGCTGAATTCCACAATAGATAAGAATGAACATACAGTAACTGTGCTTCCTTTTCAGTGTCTATTACTCTAGGAAAAGTATGTGTTTGCCCAAGTTAGGCCTCAGCTTTGTTGGTAGGTTTGACCTCTCAAAAATATTTATAGACACCCCGACTTCCTGATACAAACATTTCACATTGTAAAAGTTAGTTCTGCCCATCAACTGCACAGTGATTTCATTCAGAATGAAAGCTGCATCCTAAAAGACTCCAGGGTTAGGAGTTAGGAGACCTGAGTTTTGTGTCCAATCCTGGGCCCAGCAATCCACGTGTAGGTTCCCATAGGAAGGGAGATGCCACCTTGCCAGTGCGGCACCTTCCCTGTGATTGTCTCTTCCTAACCCTGACCCCTCGGTCCTGGGGGTGTCCAGGACTGTTCCCCTACCCGCAAGCCTGGTGGGTTTCTGACTGTCACATGAACACAGAATGGCTTGTAGGTGTAGGTTCTGGCTACAAAAATGTGTGTCTGTGTGTTTACAGCACACATGGGTACCAACGTGCCATTTTCAAATAGGAGTGTTTGTTTCAAAGAATGATTAATAATTATGACCTCATAGTCATAGAAAACTATAGTCATAGTCATAGAAAACTATGATCTCATAGTTTTCTTCAGTTATTTCTAATATTAAGGTCTATAGCAGTATATGTTCAATTTAAATTTACTCTGTATATGCAATGAGAGAAAGAATTATGCTCTTAAATCTGTGAAAAATACCATGACGGTATCCTGTTAATCTTCAAATAATAGTCTATTAAAAATGAAAACTTTAGTGAGGAAATACATACACTTCAAAGGCTTGGAGTATGTTACAGATAATTTTTTACTTAGCACAATTCTCCTTTAATCTAGAGAGATTTAAACAGTTTCTTCCTCACAAAGTGCTGTTCTTTTCAACTTGAATTTTCTTTACATTATGTCTAAGTTATATGTGAAATGAATATTTGTCACCCATCCACTGATTCGCACCTGTAAGCAAATCCAGATATCAAGCCCACAGTCTATACTAAGTGCTATAACAGAGGAACCAAAAGACATCTGTTCAGAGAAAGAAATGCCTCCAAGCCTGCCTGTTCTTTTTACTTTTGTCTCGAAGCAGTTATGCTCATGCAGTGGCTGTACTGGGTGAGTACCTGGCAGTTCCATGCTGCTCTCTATACCCTGGGAGATGAACACTCTGGAGCAGCTTTCTGACGAGCTTACATAAATTAGAAGTTAAATATTCAAATAACAGGTGTTCAGTTTGCCAAAAAAAAAAAAAAAAAAAAAGGCTTCACAGCATCATTGTTGTGCATTCGAGACAGTATTTCACGTAAACAAAGTACTCCTCCTCTTCCCCCAATAGTACACCTCATTATTTGAAAGACTTGATACATCGGAAGTCCAAAATTTCTGCAGGTTGAGCATGGTCTATGGGTTTTGTTAAGTCTATATCATGCTTTAGAATTGGTTGCAAGACTTAAAAATTAGAAGAGTTCACTTTAAAAATCCAGATTTGGGGATTATCTTGTTTTTAAAAAATGAGAGGATTTGGTAACACTGTTCTGTGATCTTACATGTCAAGCACCTGTGCTTCCAAGTCTTTCCCACCTTTCTCTTTTCCTCATTTTCATTCCTTCCCCGGCCACATGCAGCATCCAACTGTCATTCCCTCTTAAATGTGTGAGCAGCCATGATGAGAATGGTGTATCTTATTCAGCTAATACATTATGCCACCATATTTAACTTTTTGTATGTCTAGATTTCTATCTTAAAAAATGGGAATTATATTTGGCACCTATTTTTGATGAAAACCTTGACAATTAGTATGACTTTTTAAGAGTATTTCAAAGTAAAACATTTATTACTCTTTTGACAAGCACATTTAAAATCATGATTTTGTTTCATCGGTTAAGATTGGCTCTATAGCAGACACCAAAGTTTCTTTAGTCAAAACTTAGAAATGTTTAAATTGAATTTTTGATACATGTCATTTTGCTAGAAAACTAGAATCAGAAGTCTGCAAATAACATGTATTTACATATATAATGAGTATTGTATACTTCTGTGTGTTTATATGTACTTACCTACATATAGATGTATTAATTCAGTTAATATGCATCTTTAGCTATAAATGATCATAATAAAATTTCTGCTGCTTAAATAACATTTAAAAGCAAGTTTAGGATGAAGCTAAAATGTGCCATCCAGGTAGATGTTAACTTCAGATGCATGGCTTTCCTTTCAGAATACGGCAGGAGAATGATATGATTGATTCAGCGCCTCAGTGGGAAGCTGTATTGAGGAGACAAAAGGAAAAAAACCAAGCCGACCCCAACAACAGGCGATCCAGACACAGATCTCGTTCGTATGTGGACTCTTTTTATACCTTGATTCGAAAACACTGAATTTGAAGTAGCATGTGGATATTCAGGTCTTCTAAAGTGTTTTAGTTCAACTAGGATTATTTCATTGTTTATTTGTCATATTTACCTTCTAATATTTGTCACATTTATTAGCCATGTTTGAAGCCATAGAAGTTGAAGCACAGTCAAAACAAAATGTCATGCAAACAAGGCCCTCAAAGCCATATTTTTGTTTTGTGTTGTTTCTTAACCAAAGTATACATTTACCTGAATAGATAGGAATAGTCTCCTTTGTTGTAGAGCCAGGCTGCTGGTGAAATACCTGCTGCTTCTCTCAGTTTGAGTCTGCACAATTCTCTGAAGCCTTGTTCCAGACTGAACCAGATGTAGATATCTTCCCATCAAAATACCATTTGCGAACAGTAGTCAGTGAGTGATTCATTACACCTCATTGTTGGAATTTGCGTGCTCCTTCTGTTGCTAGGCAACGCCTTGTGTGAGCACAATTACACCCTAATGGTGTGATTGCCAGTCCCCCAAATTAATTGTCTTTGAGCTGGTAAAGTTTCTGTGCACGTGTGTTTTAAATCTGAGCATTATCAAGATTTAGACGCCTTACTCCCACTCCATTTGCCAAACCATGGCTCACCTTTTTAAAGTGAGCCAAGACTAAGTACAAATCCTTTTGTGATGGTGGGTGGTTAGATGTCTGGTGTTGATTACTCACAGGGGGAGGAATTAAGTCCAGTTGCGTATGATAAGGAAATGAAACGATGTTGGGTAGTGGAGGTGGAGACTGCGTAGGTAGGTAGGGAGCTCTGAGGGAGCCAGGCAGGAGGGTGACAAGAGGACAGCTGTGAATGCCACATCAGGTTAAAAGAGATTAGGAAAGAACTCCGGAGTGTACCAGGGGGTTCACACCAGGACCTTTTGTGCTGTGGGACACTAAGGACACTTGTCAGTCTTAGATGTTTACCTTTCAATTAGAAATTAACCCCGTGTATATGTGTATGTATTTTATCAGTAGTGCATCATTGTGAGTGATGACTTTCTTTTGTAATAGAAAACCTGCAAATAGTCACTAAACCATGTACACCCTTACAGATGTATTAATTACTCTGTAATGTTTTTTTAGCAACCTAATTAAATTAGTGGTCAATTTAAAGCAGAAGTTAATGAAAATTTCCTTTGTTGTGATAGCACCTTCCCCCAACTCCATTAAAAAAAAAGGAAGTTTAGATATGAAAGAATCAGACCTCATTGAAGAAGTTTACTCAAAAGGCACAGAACCCAAGATTAGATCCGGCACAGTCATGGGTAAATCTTTTGCCACCACATTTTTACCTTTCCATGTGGAATCATTTTCTTTGAAGGACTTGTTATACACAAGGTTTGGCAACTTGATATTAAATCTTAAAACAGCATTCAGTTTTTATAACTATTTCTAAAGCATTATGAGTTCAATTAAATGTCAGTAGTACAATTAATTTATTTAAAAAGGAGAAAGTAAAATAAAATTAGAAAAAAATCCTATATGTAAGTTTTGAAGAAGCTAAAAAACATTCCTAGAAAAATAGTAAATAAATGGAACCATTCATTTGTAAATAAAAATTGGGAAATAGAATAAAGTTGTTATTACTATAATTCAGTTATATTATAGAGCAAATATTTGTAGTGGGCCTGGAAATTTAATCATTTTTTAGTCGAGTGGTCTGAGGTACATTTAACAGCCTTTAAAATTGAGGCAATTTGAGGTGAAATTTACATACAGTCAAATCCTCTCATGTGTACCATTTAATGAATTTTGACAAATGTATCCATAATCTATCCATCCTGCCAGTCAAGATATAGAATATTTCCATAATCCAGAAAGTTCCTTCATGCTCCTTCTAGTCAGTGCCCACCCTCACAACCAACTGCTGTTCTGATTTTTCTTTTTTCTTTTTTCTCTGTCACCCAGGCTGGAGTACAGTGGCACAATCTTGGCTCACTGCAACCTCTGCCTCCCAGGTTCAAGCCATTCTCCTGCCTTAGCCTCCCAAGTAGCTGGGATTATAGGCACCTGCCATACCACCCAACTAATTTTTCTATTTTTTCTATTTTTCTATTTTAAGTAGAGATGGCCAGCATGTTGGCCAGGCTGGTCTCAAACTCCTGACCTCCAGTGATCTACTGGGCTCAGCCTCCCAAAGTGCTGAGATTACAGGCGTGCACCACTGCACCTGGCCCTCTGTTCTGATTTCTATGATTGGTTTTTCTCTCTTGTTGAACTTCATATAAATGTAATAACACAATACATACTCCTTTAAAACCTTGCTTCTTTCACTCAACATGTTTTTGAGCTTCATCCATGGTATCAGTGGTTATTTAAATTTTTTGTAGAAATGCACCGCAGTATTTTTATCCATTCTCTTCTTGATGGACATTTGAATTGTTTCCAGTTTTCGCCATTGTGTTATAGTCATTCTGTACAAGTATGTGTGTGGAATCTGTTTTCTTTTGCTTTGGGCAAATACCTAGGAGTAGAATTGCTGGATTACAGGGTATTTGCAGGTTTAATTTTATAAGGAACTACCAAAATGATTTCCAGAGAGGTTGGATCATTTTATACCCCACTAACAAGATATGAGAGGGTCTTGTTCTGCCCCAGTTCTTGCTAGTATTTGAGTTTGTTGCTGTATTAATTTTCGTCATTCTACTAGGCTCGAAGTAGACATTCCATCATGGTTTTAATGAGCATTTCTTTCATGGCTAATGATGTTAACCACATTTTTGTGTGCTTATTGGTTATTCATATATCTTCATTTTTGAAGTGTTCAAATTTTTTGTCCAATTTAATTGGGTTTGTCCTTTTTATTATTCATCTGTAGGTTATTTATGTATTCTGGATAAAAGTTCTATTTCAGATATCCATATTATGAGTGAATACTTTCTCCCAGGCTGTGCTTTGCATTTTCATGTTCTTAACATTGCTTTTTCATGAGCAGACTTTTTAATTTTTGATGAAGACCAATGTATCCGTTTTTTCATTTCTAGTTAAGGTTTTTTTTTTTTTTTTTTGAGACGGAGTCTCGCTCTGTCACCCAAGCTGGAGTGCAGTGACCGGATCTCAGCTCACTGCAAGCTCCACCTCCCGGGTTCATGCCATTCTCCTGCCTCAGCCTCCCTAGTAGCTGGGACTATAGGCGCCTGCCACCTCGCCCGGCTAGTTTTTTGTATTTTTTTTAGTAGAGACGGGGTTTCACCATGTTAGCCAGGATGATCTCGATCTCCTGAACTTGTGATCTGCCCGTCTCGGCCTGCCAAAGTGCTGGGATTACAGGCTTGAGCCACCGCGCCCGGCCCTTTTTTTTTTTAAATCTTAAGGAGTATTTGCCTACCCCATGGTCACAAAGATAGTCTTACATCTTTTTCTAGCAGCTTTATAGATTTTGCTTTTATACTTAGGTCTGTGTTCCATTTAGAATTAGTTGTTGTATATGGATGAGTAGAGATTGAAAGGTTTGTTTTCCTGTAGTCTATCCAGTTCCACCACCATTTTTGAAAAGACTTTTCATTAAAATGCCTTGTGGCCTTTGTTGAAAAAGAATTGACTGCTCACATGTGGGCCAATTTTGTTTCACTGATCTATTTGTCTATCCCTAAGCCATCATGTTGTCTCAGTTACTGTAGCTTTATGGTAAGACTTGAATAAGGCAGTGTAAATTCTCCAACTTTTGCTTTCCCTCTCCCCTTTCTTTTCAAGATTGTTTTAACTATTTTATTAGGACTTTTGCATTTCTGTCTAAATTTTTGAATCAACTTGTCAGTTTTTACCGCCTTCCCCCAAAGACTTTTGACTGTGATTATGTTGAATGTATAGATCAATTTTGAGAAAACAAATACCTTATTCATCCATTTGTTTTTATCTTCTTTCAGCAATGTTTTGTAGTTTTCAGTATAGAATAATTCATTTTGTTACATTTCAGAAAATGTATTTTTCAGTTGTTTTTTAGTATATAGAACAAATGATTTTTTAAAATACTGATGCTACATCTTGCCACCCCATAAGCCTTGTTAAATTCACTTATTAGCTCTAGAAGCTTTTGCGGGGGTGGGGGGCCGTTTCTTAGGATTGTCTACAGTTGCAATCATATTTGTGAACAGTTCTCCTTGAGTTCTAGTCTTTCTGTCTTTTATTTCTGTTCCTTCCCTTATTATACTGGCTAGATCATGTAGTACAGTGTTGAGTTACAATGTTGAATACAAGTGGTAAGGAAGCAGACATCCTTGACTGCTCCTTTTCATAAAGGGAGAGCATTCAGTTTGTCACATTATATATGATGCTAGCTGCACAACTGAGAAATATCCCTTCTATTTCTAGTTTGCTAAGAGTTAGTGAAGAGTTTTGATCATGAATGGGTCTTGAGTTTGATTACAAACTTTTTCTGCATCTGTTGAGATAATTGTTATATGGGTTTATTGTGTTCGTGGAGGAATTAAATGGATTCAATTTTGAATGATATATCCTTGCATTCCTAGCATAAGCCCCTTGTGGTCGTGATATATTTTCCTTTTAGTATGTAGCTGGATTCTACTTGGCATTACCTTGTTAAGATTTTTTTCTTTGTTTTTGTGAAAAATTGATCTGTAATTTTCCTGTAATGTCAGGTTTTTGGTAAAAAGATTATATTGGTCATTTAAAATAATTTGAGAACTATTCCTTCTTCCTCTATTTTCTGAATGAGTTAATATAAAAGCATTTTTTTCTTCCTTAAATATATAATTCACCAGTGAAACAATCTTTGCCTGGAATTTTCTTTGTGGAAGGTTTTAAATTACAAATTCAATTTCTTTGGCAGATATTGAGATATTCATATTGTATACTTATGTGTAGGTTTTGATAATTTATGCTTTTAAAATATTTCATTTTTATCTAAGTTGTCAAATCTTTCAGCAAAAATTTGTTTATAATTCTTCATGTGCTTTTAACATCTGTGAAATCTGTTGTGATATCACCACT